CTACGAAGTCGGGGTTGAACTCCACCGGGTTGACACGGACCTCGGTGGCCTGCAGCCGCAGGGGGAAGCCGCGGGGCCCCACCCCCCGCACGTGCGAGCTCAGCAAATTGTGCGTAAGAAGCTTCATGTTGCCACCGGAGCTCGAAACTATTTTTACTTTGTCTAACAATTGTTTTGGTTATGTAGCTTTGAGACTATGCACCAAGGCAGGAGATTTCACCTTGGCCCCATCCAACGCAGGTATGCCTACAATCCTAGACTTCTCTCAAGCAGGGCTGAGTGTTCAAATAGTTTTGAGGCTGAGCACAGAGACAAGAGATTTAATGTATGGCCCTCTAGTCATGAAAACAACATTTATATACCAGATCCACAGGACAAATCACCTGTTCCTGGGAAACTCTCCTCTTGTGAAAGCAGTATGCTGCCAATGAAAAAGAAGACACACTAAACTACAAGAAGTCAGTCCTAGAGCAGAAGTTTGAGACATAGGACTTTTCCTCAGAACCGTCTGAGATAGAAAGACTTCCCTAATACTAGTACCTTGTATTTGGACTTAGAGACTCCTAAATTCAAGAGATACTGGGTGGCACATAAAAGACTGGCTGCAGCACAAGGCTTTTGGAATCACAGAAGCCCACAAGGCTTGAGATCTAAGCTGTCATATTAAGGGCTGGATAGAGGGAGAGAGGTGTTGAATGGCATAGGCAGGAGTAGAAGGGGATGCTGGTGGAAAAGAGAAAATGCTAAGATGTTGGTCAAGACACACTTGTCAAGGATGAGGACCAACTCTGAATCTACTGGTTGCTTTTATAATTGGGGAAATGTCTTTCATCTGCTTCTTTTGTAAAATGCTTGTCAAATACTGTTTTATATCTGAGCATTCAAATTAAGACAGACGAGGTCAAATGGCCATCCACTTCTGAAATCACAGGCCTTCAAATACCCTATGTACAATAGAACATACTTAGATGAGCATATATGACAACTGAGGCTGAGTCCTAAAGTATGGAAACACAAAGGAGAAGGAGCAGTAAGCAGATAATAGTGATTGTAATGTGGGATGTGAGAGAGGCATGAATAGAGGAAAATTGGACACTGTAAAGAAAGAAATGGAACACATAAAAATTAACATACGATAGCGGCCATAGGAGATGGCTTGGCATGGGACATTTTTATTCAGACGATCAACTGCTTTACTATGCCAGAGATAAAAAGGTGAGGAAAAATGGGGTTGATTTCTTAGTTTAAAAGGTCCAATGAGGGAGTTTTTCTTTTGCTTTTCAAGGAGAGGAGCAAATGGGGGGAGGGGGGAGGGGTTTGTGCGGGGAGAAGGGTGCAACAATGAATGAATGGAATCCCAAAATTTTTTGTAGATGTTCATTGAAATGAAAAATAAACAACCTAAATTTAAAAAAAAAAGAAAAAAAAGGTCATTTCTAGATAACTATACGCATAAAAGGAAGTTAAGTGAGTGCCACTATCATTCAAATATATGCACCACCAACTAGAGCCAAGGAGAAAGAAATAGCACATTTCTACCAATTTTTTTAAGTTAGAAGTTGATCAAATATACAATCAAGATACATTAATAATAATGGGTGACATAACAGGTGACTGGGATTCAAAAGCTGGAAACAGAGAAGAATCATTAGTAGTTGGAAAATATGGACTTGGAGACAGAAATGAAGCTGGGCGTAGAATGAAAGAACACTTTACAATCAACAATGTATTCACTGCAGATATTTTTATAAGAAACATAAATTCAGGCTATACACACGGATTTCACCTGTTCATATGCACAGGAATAAGAACAATTACATCTGTGAAAAGAAATTCTGGAGGAATTCAATATCAGCTGTGAGAGGTGAAAGAAAAGACCAAGATGGATGTCAGATGAGACTACATACTGCAATAGAGTGCCAATAAGTCAAGGCAAAGGGAAGAAACAAGTCCAGGTTTTACCGTTGCTATTTTACTATGTTTCTTTTTAATTTTGTTTCTGATTAGTATGGTCCATCCACTTTCCTTTGGTGTCTCTGTGTGAAGCAATGCATTTAAAATTTGTTTTAGTTTAAGTTTTGTTTTCACAAAAGTTCCTTCTTTTCTGCAAAGGATCTAATTTTTCTGTTATTTGATGGAGAGCTTTGCTGTGTATACGATCTTTGGTGAGTAGTTGATTTCTTTAGGTTTTCTGTATATAATATCCTATTATCTTCTAGCTCCCATGGTTTCTGCTGAGAAATCAGAATTCAATCTAATTATTTTTCTTTGTAGATGACTTTGTTTTTCTCACACTGCTTTTAGTATTATATTTTTATCTTTTAATTCGGAGAATTTGGTTATGATATGTCTTGGTGTTTTTCTTTTGGATTCTAGTTTATTGTTGCTTGCTGTGCTACTTGAATGTGGATTTCCCCTTCTCCATAATATCTGGGAAGTTTTCTTCTATTACTTCTTCCACAATTTCCTCAGTGACGTTCCTGTTACTCCCATGTTCTGGAATTCCAATCATTCTTATGTTATTCCTTTTGATGCCATACCACATGATTCTGATATTTTCTAACTTTCCTTTATATCTCATCTCTGATTTCTCATCTAGTGTGTTTTCAGTAAGGCTCTTTGTTTTCCTACTCACTTACTTTCTGTTCTATCTCTTCAGTTTTAATAGTTTGTCTTACCAGCATGTTGGATACTTCTGTCATTTTAGTCTTAATATTTTGGATTGCATTTTCATGTTTTTCTGTTATTTCCAATACTGTGTTGGCTGTACTATCTGTCTTGTGAAGGTGATTTTTGGTTTTTGGGGGGTTTTTGCTTGTTTGTTTTTAAGGTTTTGTACCTCTTTATCTCTACTGTAAATTTTTTCTTGCATCTTTTGCAATTTCTTCCCTAGCTGTTCAAGTTGCTCCTCATCACTATATTTCTTCAGAATTACTGTCTCTTGGATATTTGCTCTCTTCATAGCTTCCATTGCTTCCTTTATCATTTGCACCTTCTTCTCTAGCTGTTTAAATAACTCCACATAAACCTATTTCTTCTGGTTTTCTCTATCTTGGTTATTCATTGTTTCTGCTTTTTTAAGGAGAAATGTTATTTTGTTTTTCATTATAACTGATGTAGACTATCACTTTCTTGGCATTATGTGAGCCTTTTCTTAGTAGATGTTAGGCTGTTGTAAAGATATAATGTCCCAGGATATGTCTATGTTATGTAAAGTACCTGTTTATTAGTGCTCCACTCTTGTTTTCCTGAAGCAGGATAACTGTTGCCCTCCAGAAACCATGGCTCCACCTGACCTCTTTTACTTGACCTTAAGAAATCCCACAAGATGTAGCTAGACAACAGTGTTCAAGGTCAAAGTACTTCTTTTCTTTACTCTATGAGACAGTTAAGCTGCAGGTCCTTCAGTTCATTCTTGTTTCAGGTGACATTTTGACAGAATTTTGGATATTTTGAGTATTATTGATCATTCAGTGGACAGAAAGAGACCAATATGGCACTGGTTTCTGTTCTTGATGAAAAAAAGTATCTGCTACTATGAGTAAATTTTGACTTTAAATGAGTATGTTATGTTGAAGAAAAGGTAATGCAATGGCTATAGCTTACCATAGTACTTAAATACATAGAATCTAATTTTCTAGTAAACGGTGGTAACTTTTATTCAAGTAATATTTTTCTCTTTAAAGATATGGAATAAATTTTTATTAATTAGAAAATTTTTGCCTGTTTTGCTACACACATTCTCATTTATTATCAAGTTGTATTATATAATTAAAATATTTCAATCTTTCTGGATTTATGTTTCATATGTAAGCAATCTAATTACTATGGAATATTTGTAAATGCATCAATACCATAATTTAAGACTGTAGAAACATCAAGGTGAGGCTAAGAGAGTGTTGAAAAAGGAGATTCTCCATAGTGACCCTCTAATGAGTTTCTGAGGTTTCAAATCATACTGGGAGGAGACTATCCATTTTTTCCCCTGAGAGTAATGAGTAATTGGTGGATTAAAACAGTTAAAGACTATGGACTTTTGGGTTAACAGCACAATTCAATGTGGATTATATAACCACCTAGCCCTCAATTGTAAATAGAATTATCACATTCTATATTTCTTGTCCCTTAAAAGCAATCCCCATTTTGGTAATCTACTTCCAAATGTTTTTAACTACTATAAAACTTAAAAAATACTTGTGTCTTACTTCCCCAAATGACTCTTTGGGGTTGAATTTTGTACCATTCTCCCCCAAAAATATATATTCACTTGAAAAATAAAAAAAAGGATATTTTCTTAATTATTCTCAATTTATCCTGGTAAGAAGTAGCATAATAAATAATGTGAAGTACAACACACCCTCTAAATTATATGCTATTAAGTTTGAATATTAAATATGTCCAAGATCAGTTGAAAATTAATCACCATATGAATATATTAATGAGTTTCAGTGAGAGAAGGAGGGAATGTAAGGTAACTGGTTCCTTTCTAAAATAACTATATACCCTGACATAAAAAAAATTATTTCTCCAAGTATTCAGTGCTTTTCAGCAGATAATGCACTTGCATATATTGTCATTAATAATAACCTTATGAAATAATAACAAAGATGAAAGATTTGAGTATACTCACACATCAATCTCTTAGCAGACGAGATTATCTAACTTGAGTATTTTAAGACCTCACACATGAAATTCCAACAAGAAAATGTGCATAACTTAAGAAAAGGTACCTGGAAGAACACATTAAAGAACCAATTCCTAATCTCTTCATGAATTAATTTTTGACAATAGTTTGATGTTATTCTAAGATAAATATATTTTTGCTCTAGAAGGGATATTTATTGTTATTGTTGTTAAGTGCCATTGAGTCGTAAGTGACTCATAACTACTCTATGAACAAAAGACCTCAACACTTGTATAACTTTCTTCCTTTCTCCAGGTTCATAGGGTTTCCAGAGACAAGCTATTATGGAAGTAGATGCCACTGCAGCTTCCAAGCTTGTTTTAATCGGGGAGTTCCACCAAACACTGTCCACCATGGGTAACTGTTACCCCATTTGACACATGAGTGTCACAGTGTTCAATTCCACAATAACCACGAGTTACCTCTGTACAGCAAGTGGACGC